AGGAAACAAAAAAAGTCATCAAATAACCATTCCTGAAAAATTATCTATACAACTACAAATACGTATGTCCCCAAAATGTCACTTAACTGGCAGAATTGATCATCGTTTTGGTGGGTGAATTGAGTCTGACCAAACCACTCATATAATCTATGCTTTACATTTTCAGGCCAAAATAATATACTATTTTCCTGACAGTGAGTTTAAGAGTGAAACTATATATCTGAAAACCCATTAAATAACGCCCATTTATTGTGTGCTGATAAAATGCATTACCCTTCTGCCACATGCACCTGAGCAATAACGCTCCATATAGTACTGCAAGGAAAAAAAACCTAAATAAACAGGCATAGATAAGTACAGAGCAGACACTGGGCAGATAAGGCATCAAATGCTGCTACCCACAGAAGAGATTTCCGATTAGCCTTTCTCTTCACGTGACTGGCACAAGCCACTAGAAAGAACACACAGGTTTCAAAACTGAAAACCAGGTACTGGGACATTTTCCAACATAACCTTTTTCTAGCTCCCCTTTCCACTTGAATACTTGTGTTAGCTTTTGGATCTACCTTAACTTTTAGAGCACAGGTATTTTCATTCTCAGTGCTCTGTACAGAAGTACAAGGCAAGGAAGAAGAGCGTATTCAGGTCAACTTTCAACCTTCTTTAGTCCCTTAATATCTATCCATAGGGAAGATATGCATGAAAAGCACAGAGAAATGACAAGGAGGGAGCAGATCCCTGAGGTCCAAAGGTGCCTCTTATTTCTTCACTTTCTTTCTGCATGGACATTTTTTATAGCAGAGTAAGGTATTAACCTTAAGGTATTCACTACACCTTTTATCAGAGCTCTTGCTTATGCTCATCCCTAAATCCCTGTGAAAGGCTCTGAAAATATCACACTAGCTCTCAACCTGCAGTCTCCAAATAACATAACATAAAACTGGAACAAGAACCTCTTCCTCCCACCTCCTCTCTCTCCAAAAATAAATACATGAAAAATTAATGCATGGAATCTTAAAATGTCAGGGAATTAACTTTCTTTAGTACATGTATCTTTTCCTTCTCACAAGGTTTGCTGTTTCTAGCCATCCATCAGTTAAACAGGTTTAAAAACAAAAATAAAAAATGGTCTGTCTTAACCAGCATCCTCTTCTAAATGGACTGCAGGAACAGGCTCACCTTATTAGGGCCCTGTCTGCATCCCTGCTGTCACTTTCTCCTTGCAGAGCCATGATGCGGTTGAGTGCCTGTAAATTTAGGCATTTACCTCCTTCTATCAAAATTAATTTGTTTTTATTGACTGGGAATTATAACAGGCTCCCTGGGAGGTTAACTATAGATGAAAACACCTCCTCTTAAGGTGCTTTTGTACTTCCAGGTGAGACTTGGTGCCTCAAATATCTAAAGCACAAAGTTTTAAAACTCTGAGTAGATTGAGCCCCGTGCAGGGAATCAAGAGAGTGATACAGGCCACATTTTCTTAGGAACTGAATTGGTAGGTGACCACTTCTGGCTCGTGGATTCTTTCCTGTACTGTGACAGCTTCAACAGAAAGGGTGACAGCATTGTCCTGCTCCTCGGGATTGAAGCCATCAGAGGCGGGAAGGGATTCAGCCTGTGGCTCTTACATCATGAACAACTGCTCTCATCACTGAGCCCTAGCTTCATGAAAGGGGAGAGTTAAAAGAGAAGCAAAATCTAATTCTTTATCACAGTGGGTGTCCTCTGAGAAAGCCTTTCTGGTTATTCTCCTCAGATTATCTATATGAAATGAATCCTACTTTCTGGGTCCCAGTTTAGTTGACACATGAGCAGAGCTGCTGCTTCACAAAGCAGCTCTGCAGAGACTGGGATGTGCAGACACCAGGAAACACACAACCTGGGAACAGAGGCTAAAGAATTCAGATATGCCGTCAAGGTTAGGTGACAGCTGGTCAGTTATTCTTAGGATTGCAGTTTGGGAATGAAGTGCCTAGATTCTGATGAATTCCCACCCGAGATACCTATCTCCCTTCTAGGATACGGTCTTTTGGCTCTTGGATCAAGTAGGCATTGTCATGGCTACCAAAGCAACGGGAAACATCTTTGCAAATCTGGATGGTATTTTCAAATTCTGCAGCCTGCCGTCTGTAATGTCTACTATTGAGTTGATATGCTGAACACCAGCAATGCCAGAGTTCAGCATCTGAACTGAGCCTCCAGAAAAACCTTCAGGCAGGCCATAAACTGTCCAGTGTGAACTAGGATGGTCAGGACACTGACTCAAAGCCGAACTACATTTTTTTTTTTCAGAAACATTACAGTGCTCTAAAATGTTGGTCCTTTGCACTCTCAACATTATGAAGTATAGAATCTCAATGAAAAACTTTATCTGGTGAGTCCAAAAGCTTTCAAGCTCAGGCCTGCATTTTTTTTAATTAATGCTATTCACTTAAGTTTTGGTTGGACATACAGTTCTTCAGTGAACTCAAATGAGTAAGTATCCAATACAGATTTCTTCATCAGAAACCTCTTCAGTTATCCACCTCCAATGAGATGTCAAGGCTAACAATCATATGGAAAAGAGCTTTTGGTCAAATAGAGCATCTTACCATCTTGTCGATTTGTGATAACTGTCTCTAATGGTCCGTTCATACAAATTGTACTGCTTATGCTAATACAGCTATTGGTGATTCTTCTTCAGTTCAAGCAACAAGAGTTTGGAGTAAAGCTTCCAACTGAATCACTGATTCCCAGGAAAAGCAGCAGTATCAGACAACTGGACAGCTTAAGAATTAGACGACTACCCATATTGGAAATAAGCGTAAGACTAAAGAAATGCCTCCACTCCCTGCTAGATCAAAAGTTAAGAGAGTGATTGAGGTACCTAACCACAGGTCTCTAGGGCCTAGCATGTCTGATGCATCTGTACAGGGATGGAAGATATAGCACAGGACCTAAAGAAGACTTACAGGTTTCTGGAGTGGCAGCTGGAGAGCTGGTCAGATATACTGGGACATCTCAGACGGCACCAGGCATTTACACTGAACAACTGTGAATCATTTCCTAAGTGACCACTATCACTGACACATGAAAAAAAGAGTATGGTATTGTAATTTCTCCTTGGAGTAGAAAAAATGGAGTGTAATAATACAACTTAGAGCTTTTCAGTTTCGCAAAAAAAAAAAAAAAAAAAAAGCCAAAACCCAAAAAGCAAAATCTTCAGCTGTCAAGGGGAAAACTTGACTCATGTTATAAAGTACTGCACTGTCTGAGGAGTACAGGAGGGCAGAATAAGAACACAGGTGAGAAGTTGTCTGCGTGCCAGTCCTGATTTTATCACCTTGTTATTCTGGGGGGGGAACACAGTCTTGGAAAACCTGCTCTTAAATGTTTTTCTGCTTATCTACAACACAGGTTGCAAAACTGACAGTGTCCTGATTTTACCAGAATTTTTTTTATTCCATCAGTATAATTTTATATATTGTATATGCAAATAAAGAAAAGACTCTCTACTTAAAAAGAGCACTAAAATGAGCACATCTGGGAACCAGGAGTTGTTTTCTCCATCATCTTCATCCTCTTCAGAAAACAAAGCCAAAACTTGTATTTGAATCTTTTTGGTTATAAAGGCTAATGCTGGCTTTTAGCATAAATGACCATTAAAACAAAATATGATTGGATATTGTATTTGACTTTAAAAATCTATACAGAAAGATTTGAAGTCTACCTCTCTGTTAAATATAGAAGCATATAACAGGGATATATGACTTGATCTACAGCCAGCTGAAGTTGATAGGAGACTCCTTTAATGAAAGAGTTCAAGAGAGCACCATACAAAGTAAATGGATTAAAGTTTCCAAAGACATTTGGACTGCCTTTTAGAAATAGTTTTAATAATTGAAATGTACATTATTTCTGCCTTATCTCTAAGCCCCTAATATATACTGTGTCATAGCGTTAGCTAGAGTTAACCTGACTATATTAGGCAGCACATTTTATAACTACTTACAGTATTATTTGTTTCCCCCTAGGCTTCATTTTTAATCTTCTCTTTCTCCTTATTTTGTTGTGCTTTTAAATTTTTTTTGCCTGATGCTTCCATAGCACGCACATCAGGAGTTGCATTTTTCGGTATCTGAAATTTGAAGTCTAAATACTGCATGGAGAAAAAGACTTGAAGGGAATCCTGTATTGATAGGGTGGTGCCCACATTTCTCTAGCTTTTATAATAGCTCTTTTTTGCTAAAGCTGTTGACCAGATTTGCAGAGTGGAGTAGCGTAATATAGAAACACAGATGACTGAACAAATCATTTACTCATCTGAAAGGCCCGAATACTGCTGGCCACTTCCACCCTGCAAATAGTGTGACTCATTTATTTCTAGAAATGTCTAGAAATTATACATAAAATTGGCCACGGTTTTGTTTCCTGTGAATACTGTTGCATTGAAAAGAGTTGATAGGAAGGACAGCTGGAGAAAGGCTTTTGTTCTTGTGGACAAAAGCATATTAATACCAAATGCCTGTAAAGTCAAGGTAGCAAAATTCAACACTGAAACAAGATCTACCTTTCTAGTGACAAGGACAAATAAGCATTTGAACTTCTTCATAGAAGGGACTATGGGCCCACAATCACTGCTGTCTTAAGAATGGCAACAGTTATTTCTGAAAGGACTTCTTCACTCTGACTGCTATGAGAAGTATGGGTGTTGCACACATGAGGGTCAGACCTCATGGCCATGCAATCTGAGTCTCCTATTCATCCCCACTCACCACAGAAATAGCTGGTATTGTTGTAATCATTTTCAGAGCAATTGCTGCCATCCATTAGCATTTCAGTTACAATCAGGATACTGATATCATCAAGATCTCAGCCACAGACTATTATATTAGTATTATCTTTCAGACACCTTCAGGTCAAGAAAGACATTTTCTCTCCCAGTGGGTGCTAGGAGATAAGGGCAGAGGTAAGGGAGGTTGCTTTCCCAGGAAACATCAGAGACCACCAATGGCTTCATGCAAGGCTGTGCACCAATGTCATGGGTGCCCAGACATTCTCTTTCCCAAGCACCTGCCTGATGTATCTTGTTGACAAGAAGCACAGTCACTGCCAGGTTTCTGGTCTAGAAACAGCTTCTCCCATGGTCAGATTAGCAGAAAACTTAGTAGGTTTTTTGCATTTTTTTCCTTACTTTTTCCCTTCTTTTCTACCCTGGAGCACAGTCCCACAAAGACCTTCCGGAAATTTTTCACCTTATCAGTTCTTTCATGGAGGGTATGGATATTTGTGGTATGGTGCTGTTCTGTGCCTGCAGCACACAAGTGCTTAGTCTCTCAATAACTGAAATGTCTAACTTAAGTCCCTGTGCTCAGTATATGCAAGATCTGGTGAAATTTAATAGCTTATGATACACAAGAGGTCAAACCAGATGATCTATTAGTCCCTTCTGGCTTCACATCTATGAAATATATATGTAATGTAATAGAAAAGTATATAATATTATTGATTTATGGCAAAATTATTATGATATATCACTATACCTTTGAAGCAGATCAAAATAGTCCATTAATGTGCACATTATTTAATTTTTACTGTTGCTTTTCAAAAGGATTATTCTTTTCATTTATACTCTGAGATTATTGCTGAGTGAAGAACACAGATTTGGGATCACAAATGTGTGGTAACAAAATATGCACACTTGACAAGAATAATGTGTTTGTTTATGACATTGATGGTGGAAGATTTATTATGTTCTTGACTATTCATTTCCTCGCTTTTCTGCCCTTAAGATTTTGTAAATGATGTGATAGGTATTTTCAGGGTCATCACCTAATGACCGTAACTGTTAGTTTAAATAAAAGGCCTGATTCTTTGAGAATCCTGCGCAGAATTTGGGGCTCAGCACTGAATGTTGTTGGGCCAGAGGAAAACAATTGGGACATGTTTATCTCTCTGCGTTTAACCATCTTTGCACTGTGGGTATAAAATATTGCCAGGCTGATACAGAATGCTTCTGTGGCTGAAGTATGCACTGAACTTAGAGCAACTGTAATGCAATCAAAGAAAAAATATCGGAGAAGGTAATTTTCTTCAACCTTTTTTTTACTAATGAAAGAATAGCTATTTGACTAATGAGCTTTGCCATGAATATTCTCAGTTACAGGTGAAACAAACAGCAAAAAGAGACTGAGATACTCTATTAAACCGCCAGGTAGTTCACTGAAAGCCAGCCAAGGAGGGTGGGAAGGTGTTTAAACACAAATAAACAGCAGATACATTGCAAAACAGTTTGCAAATACTATTCTGTATATGCTTTCTAAAACCAAATGTTTACCTGAAAAGGCACCAAGAGTTCATTTGGGTCCCAGAAGATAGTACTCCTCCCTCTCCTTCCCCTTCCCTCCCATCTTGCCAACAGAGAGACGTATTATGTCCCAAAATACTACACTTGTGACAAAATACCTTTTGCTTGCTCCCTGTGTTTTCAAGGCACAAAAAGAGGTAATAAATGATCCACTACAACTAGTCACACCATGCAAGGTTAAACAATTTCACCTTTATAAGAATAGGGCTCTATGTATTGTCACATAGGCCTGTACTTCAAGTCTAGCATGAGTTTATATGCACTCCTTAATTTTAAATATGATTAATCTACTGAATCAGGACCTTAATAAAAGTTGTTCTTTTATTATCAATAATGAATCTATTGAAATACATTGGATTACTTACAACAGAATCATGTCTGGTTTCAAAACATTTTTTGTATGTGTATTAAAAATATATGATTCTCTTCTAAACAAAGCTTTCAGAGCCCAAGGCACCCTTACCTGTTAGAACCCATAAGCTTCCTTTTACAAGAAATGCAAATTCAAGCAGAAATAAGTTTTGTAGTTTATAGTTGCTTTGGTACTTCGGGCCTTACAAATCCATTTCATGCTTCAAGTGCCAGGTGATATTTCAAACAAAGCTTTTAGGTCAATATCACATTTTAAAAGTAATCTTTTTATCTTGAGAACTTTACCTGTTATTTGAAAGTCAAAATATTCACATCCAACTATTATTTTGTTAAGATTAAAAGAAAGTTGATTCTGCGTTAACAGCACGTACCTTTAATTCGCCAATAGAAGACAGAAGTCCTGCCCCATAAGCACGTAGCTGTCCTTCTTGCTTGCAAAGGCCAAATTCAATTGTAAAAAAATAGCACTGTAAAATATACAGATATACAGATACATACAGTGTAGTTTGCAAACAGGCACTTCAGCAATGACAATCGGCACCACATTCACTTGATTGCCCCACTTCTTCAGAATTTCATGTCTTTAATATAAATTCAGACAAAGTATGTTATTACTGCTACGTACTTTAAATGTCATGTTCTGCAGTAAGGGAGCTTTGCACAAATATGTGAGATTCTGCTTTTTTTCTGGGCACCCAAGCAGTTCACAGTAATGGCCAGTTAGAAACAGACAAGCAAGATCATTTAGGTACCAAAGGCACTGATAGTAATCTGCAGAGATTTTTGAAACCTTGTGAAATAAATGAGGTGCCTTAAAATAAAATCCTGCAAGGTATTTGGTCTGCCTGTCTAGGAACCTCTGAAGATCTCTGAGATCTAGTTCAGAGCACTCAGCTTTAAGCTCAAGCTGATGCCACTTTAAAGTCTGGCACGCATTTAAGTGCTGTCTTGAGTTAGAATGAACTTACTTATATGTATGTGCTTAAAGAGCTTTCTTGAGCTGAGACCTTAGTCTTCAGTAGATTTTACTCTGTCATAAATGAAGAACTAATATGTCACTTGGCTTCTTAAATTACAGAAAGAAAATTATAGTCAGTCAAATGAGTTCACTTGACCAATCCATTACAGTTGTTCTTTAGGTCTACATTCAATTAGGTAACATATCTGAGCTGTAAAACTGATGAAAAGCTGTGAACGAGATGTGCTAAATCAGCGTAACAGTACTATATCTAACTTTGCTGTATCCACCCAACAAAGTTACATGTTAGGAAGACTGGAAGAAGCACAGATAGCCCACTGTCCACTAAATGCAAAAGACAACAATCACTTCTGCTCCTACGGTACCGAGTTTTAGTTCAGTTTTGTTATGACACACCAAGATTGCTTTTTGATGTTAGATCAAACTGTTGAGATTAAGCTAGTAACTATTTCTACATATGAAGGTCTTAGGAAGTTGATTTCTAACTTATACAAAAAAAACTGCATATATACCTGCACACACACACCTACCTATATACGTGTGTGTGTGTTTATTACATTATCTGACAATTTCAGGTTTTGTGGAAAGGGACATAACTCCACTGAACCTAACAGATTTACATGTCTCTGCAGGAAATATGAATTTAGGATAAGAAACAACCCAGTATTTGGTACTAAATCTTAAGTTTTTCTGAATAACTTGAGAATGGATCCTAACATGATTTTTTTTGTTCATTTCCTCCTTAAACCCCCACTCTTCCAGGCTGAGTATCATACTAAATGCAAAAGAGCAGAAATTAACAGCTCTTTTAAGTTCAACAAATGTTTAGAAATTGAGAAATGATTCATTTCTCTGCCTCTCATAAAAGTTCCTGTAGAGCTAGTGATTCATGCAGCGTGGCACTATGTAGAAGGGTGTGATAAAAAAGAATAAAAACATGAGCCTGGTGTCTGATCCAAACCTGCTAAGTCAGCTGGGAAGAAGGAAAGGTTGCAGTGACTTTAAATGTCTTGAGTCAGATTCCATCACAGCAGTCAAAGGCACAGATATCCACAAGAGGAGGTGAAAGCACAATATTGTCAAACAAAACAAAAAAAAAAAAAATCAAAGTTCCACCTCTGGCTTTGCAGTTGACTCAGATAAGCCAAGCTGACATAAAATTTTTCATTAGATGCAATGAGCTGATGTCACCACTTAGAGGAAGGCCAAGACAACTAGTTTCCAAAAAAGATGTCTCAGGGACAAACAGCCAGATACAAATAACAAAGGCATCACTGTAGGAGTGAGAAGTGAAGCTGAGAGACCTACCGCCAAGAAGAGCACAAACTTAGCTTCCCTGCCTAAATATTTTGCCTTTCAGAAAAACCTTCAGGAGGCTACAGTCCTGGTTCTGTATGTGCTGCCACTGTCAGCAATGAACCACTCAACTTTACACTTAAATCCCACTAACATCTTTGAATTTTGAATTTGCCCCCTCCCCCTCAACTTTCTTAAAAGAACCCATCAGGTAGTAGTTGTTATGCTTTGAACCTGAACACCCTGACAGATACACAGCAGGACTGGGCTCCTGATCAAGCACAGTGATCACGGTCATCTTCATTCTTAAAACCAACAGCAGCTAAAAAGGTCTGGTGTTTGTCTGTTATAGATCTGTAAGAGCAGCCATGACTTTGTCCCCATATGTGGGACACCTTTACTGGAGACCTTCCTCAGGCTGAGGAGGACCAAACTGATGTCATGCTGCTCCCAGGAGAATGCCCACTTGGCAATCTACAGGGCCAGCGGAGGGAGGGAAGAGAAATGCTCTCCACTCCCCCAAGGATGTGCACTCACGGGGAAGAAGGGGGCAGAAGGCAGAGATCCACAGGAGAGAGCAATCCCTGCTGCCCAGGGGTAGGGTGTTCCCAAGACAGAGGGAGACCTCGATTTCACTTCCTCCTTGAAGGACAGACAGCACACAAAGTGGGAGGTTTCTTTAACTTAGTTCAAAAATTATTATAATTGTTACTATTATAAAAGGGAGTCATATTTATGAGCCAACACTTGCTGATGACTGCCTACCTTCAGTATCGATAAGACTTGCACTCTCAGTATAACTAACTCAAATAAAATGCATACAAAATGACTAGATGATAAAATACGTCTGCTTGCTACTAACTTGTGGTATTAAGCTGTAGCATTAAGAAAAGCCCTTCAAATGAAAAGCTGATTTTTTGATAAATTTGCCATGTGCAACAACTACAATTTCTGTATTTAATAAGAGAAGTCTGCTTAGCTAACAAAATGAGATAGCTCACCCAATGCTGCCATCTTCAGATCATCAGTCAGCAATACACGATTCCCCCCACCCTCCCACTCGCAGACACGCAGAGGCGGCTCAGTGCATTACGAGATTCTGCAGGCTTTGGCAAGCTGTGCTTTCAAGTCTACAAACATCGAGGCATACTGATAAGGAGGTTAAATATTAACTATATAGAGACACTTTTTATAGACCAGATGCATAGTACCCAGTATATGCCTCTTTTTGTATGCTAAACTATGTTGACTGAGATACCCTATATTATATACAGGATAACTGCGGTGGAGTGGGAATGACTGAACAAAGAAATGGCTGTTGAGATGAATAAATTTTTTAAAGCCTCATCTGAAGGAAAATAGCTGATTATTACATTGCTGTTACATGCAGGCTGGTGAATGCTAGCACAAATGGGGGCATGTATGCTCTCATGTTCTGATTTCAAATCTTGGATCTGTCTCTGGCATACTCCCCAGCCTGTGGCCCCAGACACGTGGCTCCTCTACAAGCTACAGCAGTACGTCATCTCCCTTTACTTCCAGTTCCACTTCATCTTTGGGGTGAAGCGTGGCTTTGCTACAACCTTATAGGTAGGGTCTTGAAGTAGGAAAGATGTCTTTCCATGTTGTATAAGTTCTGTAGTTCTTGAAGAGCCTTCCACTAAAATGCCACTCCGTTAGCCAAATCAGCAAAATAAGACGAAGAACCAAAGTGCCAAACGAAGGATTAAAAATAATTTTTAAGCCAAAAGACATCAATATAATGATCAAGACCGTGCCAGGAGCACAAGACAGTGTATGATATGATTTTAACTTATTTCTCTTATTTAATGAAAGTATATGAAAGATACTTTACAGCCATGCTCATGAAACAATGTCTACATGGGTTCAAAAATTATTAAGTAGATCCATGGAAGAAAATCCTGTTAAGGGCTGTTAAATACTAATATAGCGGGTCTCTTCTTCAGAGTCCCTGTATCAAAAGTCATTGGCAACTAAAGCAGTACACCAGGAAAATATCACCACCATATGGCATTAGACCTACACTGTCCTGCAGATGCTGCAATTTGCCAGTGTCAGAGCCAAGATACTGGGGTAGCTGGTCTGGCCCAGTATATATATGATTGTAAGAGTCATATCACTTGTCCTTCTATTGACAGGAAAGATACAGAACAGATCAAGCCCTGGCAAACTCCAGGCCTGGTCTCCAGGGTAAACACAATGTCTGTTCCTCATGTTCAGGTACTGTCCTGCATTAGAAACTGGACTACCAAAAAGATAAAGAAAAAAATCCGTGACAGCTATGACAGCTAATAAAAAAAAAAAAAAAAAATTATTCAAGGGTGCTTAGAAATTTTCAAAGGCAGGAAAAAAGGTTTGATAAGCTCAACTCTTCTCATCTGACTGGTTTCTAAGGCTTTGAAAATCACTCCTCACATCACATCATTTTGCATTTGGGAATCTCCCTCCTGGGACCTGTGCAAAGAGCTTATGCAGGGTGTTGGGTCCTAATGTCACTGAGTCAGTACTTCAAAATCTGAGTTGTCCATAAAAAGGCCTTTCAAGCCATTCCACTTCGCTTAGTTTTCTTATGGTATAGCTTAGAGACCGATATTTGTGTTCATCTGGCAATTTTCAGCATGATGTATAACATGAGATTTTATCTGTTCTCTGTAAAGATCTGTACCTTGTAAAGATGTTGTCAGGATGAGTCCTGAGAACAGCAACCATGTTAAGAGCCGATTCACTTGCACTCCCTGTCGCAAGGGGGAAGAAGGAGAGATCGAGTAGCTGCATGACTGCAACCCTAGCACATGGACAGGAATATTCACCACTACAGGACCTGCTAATGGGATGGGGCTACAGCCCCAAGCTGACATGTAGTAGCACAATCGCTTTATATATATATAAAATTAGTTGCCACAGAAGAAGACAATACAACTACTAATGTGTGTAAATACTTGCAAGACCAGTGCCGAATAAATATGCTTAAGAAAACATCTTTACATTCTTTCTACTGGTTTCAAGATTTCAAAGGATATTTGAATGGATCACTCAATTCAGATGCATGTGATATGTTCACAATATGCAAAGATTAATTCCTTTTTGTTTAGAAGAGGAGACCTTTGATATTTTAGCTCTAAAATTATTCATCTAGAGATTCAATCTCTCATATAGTTGTAATTATCTTGT